TTTATGTGTCGGGGAAGGCGTAGGCCAAGTGACGCACAGAAGAAAATTCTTACACTCTTATGAAAATGGGGATTTGATATGATGCTGATTCTGCTAGATGATTTTGAGACTGAGAAAGAAAATGGCACAACACAAAATGAAAAATTGCTCTTCACACCCTAAGTAAAAAAAACATTAATTGTAATTTTGTATTATTATTAAAGAAGGTACATAATTATTCATTAATCAACAATTGTATATAATTATTCGCACTAGGTAAATCAGCCGTATAATACTAAAATCTTGGTCATGGAATAAATAAACATATTTGTTCACCAATCAATCAAAAATTCAATTCATCAATCAAAAATCAAAATTCATCATCATCGACGCTTTCCAAAATCCGAATGAGTTCTGAGGAATCGTTCATGTTGCATTGCTCTACTTTTCTCGGTAATCACTTATGACGTCATCAGGGTGTCGTCTATCCTTGATCACGGTGCCCAGTGAACTGATTTTCGATGACGCGCTAAAGATGCGCTAGAGTTGAGATATTAGATTTATTATGCGAAGATAATCTGATAACATTTTTTATTCATGTAGCTAATTATAGTTTTATGTTTCTAACCTTTAATTTTATTCAAATATCAATAATAATAGAAAAAAAAACACCATTGAGCTGAATTTTGGATAGTTTTCAAGAAATCTATGCCTCCCGCGTTTGACACTAGCGGTCAACCATAGACGACTTTGGCGTGCTGGACATAGTATTTGCTTAGATAAAAATCCATTTTTATTAGTTCAATGTTTCTTAGTACTTGTGGCTCTAGAAGACTTGTTTTTTATACTCACATGTTGCTGGGTTATTCCTATTTTGAGGAGTGTAGAATTAAAATACCTGTAATAATTTTCCAATATCTATATTTCATATTTTTCGGAGCCGGGTTTTTTGTCAACTATAGACGTCGTTGGCGCTCAGGGCCCGCAGGTGTTGGTCAAGTATAGGCGACTTTGGCGCTCAAAAGGTTAAAGGATTCATGGTAAATCAGCTGGAAACTAACTTGTTTCGTTACCATAACATGATTCTATTTTAAATGTATTGTTATAAACAGATAAGAATAACTTAACCGATCTTCTTTAAAAACAGATAAGAATAACAGTTCTTATCTGTTTTCAAAGAAGATCGGTTAAGATTAACAGTTAAATTGTGCCGTAGCATTTGTTACTCTCTAAAGAATTCATTGGAAATCAGCTAGTAATTAGCTTGTTTAATTATCGTAACATCATAATTATTTAAAAATTATATTAGCACTGTAATGATGACACCGTAAATAATCGATCGAAAAAGAGAATCGATTTTTTAAATGTGTTTTGTGATTGGCAACACTTTTTTTATTCACAAACTAATGACAAATGATTTACCTAATTTTTATTATTATGTTTCCGGTACTTTTAATTTGTGCAAAAATATTCCCATTGTTTGAGGATAAATGAATACCGCGATTCATAACCATAAATAAAGATATAATTTTTTAACAAATTCACATTGTTGGGCGTTCCATGGCCGAAAATGGGCGTCCCCCTTTTAAAGCTTATATGTCTGGTAGAAGTGCCTTAGAGTTTTGATAATCGGTCAGTCAGTGAGTGACAATATTAAGAGACTTTGACCAGTTATAATTCTTAAACTACTGGTTCAAATTCAATAAAATTTTGAATGACTCATGTTCATACAATGCCTGTTTGGTCACATAAAATTCAGGCTCCTATTTTTATCCACAACGAAGTTATAGGGGGGTCGAAATTGGCCTGAATTGCTTCGAGGAAAGTATGGTACGGCCGTGTCGCTTTTTTGCACGACTTGGCGAGGGCACTGCCGTGCCCCCAGATATTTTTTCATATAATAGCACGAGGTCCGACACAAATATTGCCCATTTTATAAACCAGCTATCAGAACTTTATAAACCAATTTATTATTCCTAATTAAATTTAAACATACAATTTATATTCGGTATTGGATAGGTAATTTTTTATTAACGTATTTACTATTTTGCGCCAAAAATCCGCCATTTTGTTTATTTTCAAAAAACTATCTAACACTTGGGTTTTTAAGACGAATAAAACGATACCTTAATTGTTGAAATCCATCCAGCCGTTTGGAAGATACGAGGTAATAAAGAAATTTACCAACACTTTAATTTAAACATACAACTTATATATATATTTTTGTAATCCCATTTTAAATTCCTTTATTTTGATATCCTATTCGATAGTTTTGGTTAATTTTTTTTTATTAACTCATCACTATTTTGCCCTAAAATTCCGCCATTTTGTTTATTTTAAAAAAGCTATCTGAGAACACTTGAGTACTTAAGACGAATAAAACGATACATTAATTGTCGAAATCCATCTAGCCGTTTGGAAGATGCGAGGTAATAAAGAAATTTACATACAAGATCGCGCGAAAAACATAACCCTTCCTTGGCAGTCGGGTAAATACTAGTTAAATATGACGAGTTTTTCAGATTCCAGTGAGTTTAGTCGAGTCGGGAGGCCTTCGTGGGCTTTTGTTCGTTGTAGCTTAGCCTTTTTGTATCGTACTTTGTTCTTAATATAATATAAACTAATATATTATGTCTTCAAAATCAACCAAGTTTTAAACCAAGACTTGTGTACCTTTATGATTATCTCAGATGGAGCTACGGCAACGCAAAGTAACTGCGTTGCAAGTTAGTAATCTCACACGGATCGTCGTAAATATGATTTCATGATTGCAACATTCACCGAGCACACGAACGTTCGGTTGACAGACTGCTTGGATTTGATTACAGTGTTAGAAGGTACATTTAAACGAAGATGAAGACAAACGAGAGTCCTCAGAAACAAGATTTTGGGTTGGATCACCTGTACATTAAAAAATATAAATTGTAAAATGAGCATTTCTTTTCAAAATTACTCCAAAGTCCTAAAATAGTAAAGGTGAGAGTATTTCTCGATTTTATGAACGAATTTAATAACGTTTACTCTGACATTGTGTAATTTGTGAGCAATTAATTAAAATCGCGATCGCGCGAAACTGGTTGCATACGGTACCGCGTGTTGTAAAAAAATGGATTCGACAAGTTGCGCTGTGTGCACAGATTACCTCCCTGTGTGGGATGGTCTGAGTGCCAAATTCTTAAGTTTTTGTTCCTGTTCATATTTTTGACAGCTCCGTGGCGCAGTGATTTAGCAATGAGTTGCAGCGCTAAGGGACGCGGGTTCGAATACCACACGGAAAAGTATTTGTATGGCCTACAAATAATTGTTCCGGGTCTGTTTGTTTGTCCTTGTGAAATGTATGTTCTTAAGCTGCCCCCACGATACAGGAAAAAATAAAAAGAAACGAAAAGAATATGCTCATACTTTTGGAATCTTTTCATCTATGTTTTGGCACTTACAATTAAATATATTTTTATTTCCGCTGGGCAATGCCACCATACCCGCCTTCTCCCTCATGATATACAGTCAGCCATCATTTATCGCACCTGCAAAAGGGCCAGCCAGTGCTTGGTTAATGCAACAATCACACCTGTGGCAACTGTTATTTATTCTGTGCCTGTGGTAAATAATTTTAATGCCTAATTCTAAAGGTAGGTATATATTTGGGATTTACCTAATAGATAATCTAGGCTAGAAGGGGACGTTAGTTTCAGGCATATAATCCAGAACCATAGTGACTGACCATAGGTCAAAATATCAGTAAGATGACGTGGCAATAAGATGGCCATGTAGCTTGAAAAACCGACAACCTATGTTAATGAAAGATTCTCGAGAGGTAGCCTCGTACCATGCGTAGTATCCTCTTAGTAATCTGTGCTCGTACCTATAAGCAAAATGTAGGACGAAACTCCGCTGTATGGAATGAGAACCTAGTAAGATATGGAAGACGTTGATGAGATCTTAACTTGTATCTTAGCGTGTATATTAACCCAATAAAAGGGATCAAATTTAAAAATAAAAGAATATGAAAAAGATTAGATCAGAAATTAAAACTGGCATTTACAAGAAACTTCTAGGTTTATGGAGAAGACGTTAGTTTCATGGATGTAGTATAAGACGTGATTTTTTTTAATAGGAAAAGGGTGACAATCTAGCACACAGTCCGCCTGATGGTAAGTGGTTGCTGTGGCCCATAGACATCTACATCTATCCTCGTTTGCGAATAAAAATGAAGGTGCGTTGTCAGCCTCTGGTATTCTGTGAGAGCGTGGTCCTTCCCCGGTCGAGCCGACCCATTCGTGCTACAACTATACAATTAATATAGCTGCACCATGGCTCTACCACGTAAATTTCAAACGTGATTTTTAAATGGTCGACTGAGGGCATGGGACAAGCTTATTTTTTAACTTTCCTTCTCAATGAGAATGAGAATGTTTTATTTTTATTTAATATATATTTTTATATAAAACTTATTGTAGTCATTTTTTAATTTACCACTGGTTCCAGAAGAACCAGCAAAAAAACTCAGCGGGATTTATTTTTAAATATACAATGTTTTTGTACAATTTTTTAATTTAGTTTTAATAGAAACCAGCTTGGTGGCGATCACCTAATTCCCAGGGGTCATCATTTAAGTAATATAATGGTCCCTATTACTTAAATTTATAACGTTGTAAATCATTTACAATCTATAAAATTTAAATTTTACACTGACTTATATACTGACTTTTGTAGGTAAAAACACTTTCAGTCAAATATCCTTTTAAAAGATAAAAACTTTAAAAAAATACGGTAGGTAATAATACTGTTCAAGTGATTTACACGCAATGAGCGTTGATTTAGTGTCGACAACGTCGCGTCGGCCACCACAGCAAACACGCGGCCGTCGCAGGCGAGTGTTGAAGAAAGTAATTATTGTTTAGTTTGAACGGAGCCAATCTCTCGGAGCTGAGGGAGTGTGTCCGTCTCATATAAAAGCCACATGCACTTCCTTCTCGATAGTTTTTATCTGCGACTTGAACGTATACCTTACTTCAGCTGCAATGGCATTACTGGTGAGTTAATAAATTATTTGATTACTAGGAAATCGTTGCAAAGTCAGTTTTGAAACTTTATAACAACTCGGAAGTGATTGCTTCTATATTACATAACAATTTATATAATACCAAAGTGCTTCCGATTTCATAATATTATAGTAAATCAGATCAACACAACGCGACGGACTGCTCCTTGTTATTAAGAAAGAAATATACTTACATTTATGTTTCTTAACTTTATAAAAAATATATGCGGTATATAATTTTTACATTAAAATATAAACACACAAAATTTACGTATTAAGTGAATAGTAATTTGGATATTTATTCAATTATTTTCGACAACCTTAGATCGTGGTAGCTTTTTTATAGGAGAGAGGCAAACGAGCATTTAAATCACCTGATGGTAAGTGATTACCGCCGCCCATGAACAACTGCAACACCAGGGAAATTGCAGATGCGTTGCCGTATGTAAGCTTAGGGACTAATCGTATGCTGTAAATTTCACAGAACGCGAGCAACCCGGGTTCGATTCCCGCCGGCACCCCTGAAATTATGCAACTTTAAGTGCTCGGTGGTGGAGGAAAATGTCGTGAGATAACTGGCGTTATTATCATAGCATGTCTGAGGAATGAAATGATTTCGAAGATATCTGAAGTCCACGAACACACTTTGCAGTAGCACGTCGGACTAATTGTTCCATAACCTTGTCTGAAATAAGCCTAACTTTTTTTTGACAACCTCGCCTGAGCGTGCACCTTGTTGACTGGTGGACCGATTAATGGAAGCAAATCCCGCGATAAGACGACGACAACAACAGAACTATAATGAGGGAATCGACTTCCACCTGGTGAATGTTTTAAAAAAATCCCAGTGGACTCCAAAAGTTTTAAAATTTTTAAAGTACTACCTACTTCTTTTCTTAATCTTCAGAATTTATTTTTTTGTGAAACAGTTATCTCACTTTACTACCGCAAAAAAAATCTCAAGCATTGTTAGACGTTGTTATGTTTATCTATTAACCAATTCGCTGTCCCGTGCACTACATATAGTTCGTTGCTATTGTCTTACTATTATGCCTGAAAATCGGACAGTGAAAGTATTAATTTATCTTGGATTGTGAAAAATAGTAACCTGAAAAGTCGATAATTTCGAGTTTAATTTTTATAGAATAAGGGCGACAAATGAGCACACAGTCCACCTGATGGTAAGTGGATACTGTGGTAGAGTAGGTGTGGTAGAGATGCGATATCAGTCACTTGTCACTCTAGAGAACTAAAATAGAATGCCCCGTTTCTAGTAGAAAGGGTATCCGGTTCTCCACACTCACGAACGTTTTTGTGTTGGTGTGTTGTTTTAAGTGTTCCACCTCTTTGCCTCGTGCATTTGTTTTTTTATGATAATCAAAATTTGTTCAAGAACAAATTATAATTATATATTTTTAACTCTGATTTATTTTTTTATTACAGAAATTAATAACATTTTTATGTTGTACATACATCGTATTCGCATCCCAACACACGCATATAATTCCTGTGGAAAATTACGACACAGAACTTCAAGAACTAGGGCAACACGTAGAGTATCCTGAAACTCCTGTAAAAGTTGTAAAGATCACAAAAACAATTGCAGTCAAAGTTCCTGTCCCATATCCTGTGAAAGTAATCCAAAAAGTGCCATATCCAGTACATGTATCTAAACCGTATCCTGTGCCTGTTACGCAAATTGTAAAAGTACCTCACATAGTCAACGTTGGTTCAAAGGATAAAGGTGGCCATGAAGCTTTGAACGTACCTTCTTACCAGAGCAACCAACAGTTCGGTAGCAATTCGTACCAAGTTCAGGAGAATCCGTCCCCTGAAATAGGACACGGGTACAACCTTATTTCAGACCATCAATCTTACGGAGGAAGCTTTGGAAATTCAGCTGGCGAAGAATACTCATCGGACGGTTCTAGTGAAGGTTCTTACGGAACTTCCTTAAATGGATATCATGGATACCCTGGCAACCATGATGGTGCTAATTCGTTTGAGTCAAATAGTTATGATGAAGCTATACAAAACTATTTAGAAAAGCACGGTTCGAATAACGCAGGATCGGTACCTCATTACTAGGTTCAAAATAATGTACATTTTCTACAAATGTACCTAGTACCTAAATACAAATTATTATTATTTAAATAATATAATTTACCTATGAACTGTGATGATTTTTTGCTTATAAGTTGGAATAAAAAGTTTCGGGTGTATTATAAATAAAGCAGGAACAAATACTTAAACAAAACAAAATTTTGTTTTCCGTTTGCGTTGTATTTTACAAGTCAACAAAAAAAAACTGTGTTATGCTATTCCTTAGAGCTGTTATCGATTGTTACTAGATGTGTACCTATTAATGTTATTAATTTTGTTGTTAATTTATGATATGTTCATTGTTGTGTTGTATGTATGTATAAAATACAAAAATAATATGAAACGAAAGGTTTTTTATTTAAAACAGAAAAGGTATTAAATTTTCTCAAACCAAACTTTTCTCAAAGGTACAAAAATAATAAGTGTACAATTTTAATTTATTCAACCTTTATTTACATCACATTGAAATATATACAATACATATTAAAAAATTATAAGAAAAAAAATTAAAGCTAAAAACTTAAATTATCCTACAGTCAAACTCCACGTGGTATTTTACGGTTATTCTTAGCTTTTGAATGAGAAATAAACCGGCCAAGAGCGTGTCGGGCCACGCTCAGTGTAGGGTTCCGTAGTTTCCCGTCCGTCACAATAAGTGTTCCCACTTATGAGTTTAAAGGTGGGTATCCATTATGTTCGCGCTCCAGCAGCGCTCCGCGCTCCTGCAACTGCTACCGGAAGTAGGTACTGTTGTTTCCATCCAAGTTCAAAATGATTTTCCTAGAAAGTCATTATAAAGTTCTACTTTTCAGATTATTTTTTTCATATTTTCTAAACTTATGGTTCTAAAGTTGGGAGGGGGACACATTGTTTTTTACTTTTGGAGCGATTATTTCCAAAATTATTGACATTATCAAAAAATGATTTTAGTAAACCCCTATTCATTTTTAAATACCTTTCCAACAATATATCACACGTTAGGGTTGAAATTAAAAAAAAAAATCACTTCCCACTTTACATATAGGGGGGGCTGCACTAATAAAACATTTTTTTTTTCAATTTTTATTTTACCACTTTGTCGGTGTGATTGATACACATATTGGTACCATATTTCAGCTTTCTAGTGCTAACGGTCACAGAGATTAAGCGAGGACGGACAGACGGACAGACAGACATGGCGAAACTATAAGGGTTCCTAGTTGATTACGGAACCTTAATAAGCAGAAATTCACCACACGTGAACCTTACGGACCGATACATCTTTATAGCAAATGGCACTAATACTAGTATGTAGTCATCTCTCAAAGACTCATATGTATGCCATTTACTTGGTTTAGCTGCCTCTGATGCCGCCCCAGCTCTAAACGAGTTACCCCTGAGAAATGAGGCTACCAAAGTGTCTACGCAAGTAACATCCTACACTAGAGCCTTACCTCTCTATTAAAGGAATAATGTCATACCGTCGAGTCTAATATTCCACAAGGCCCTAAAACATTTATAGAGACGAGAACTCCAGAGAACTCATCGGATGATATCGTTCAAAGAACGATAAACTGACGGGAAACTGAAACAGTACTTTTCTTGCATGAAAGTTCCAAACTAAAACAAAAATAGGGAATTTTAAATAAATATTTACATGTTTAAACAGAAGTTAAAAATATAATTAAAAGTTAGATATTTTCTGTAACGTTTTCTGTCACGACATTACTACGGAGTTAACTTTGCTACCAACTAGGAGTCCACGCATACAGGAGTCACAACAAGACACAAGTTATATTAGCAAAAATATTTTTAGTGGACGTATAAGTATAGCTTGTACGATATGCTTGTATTGATATGGACTTATGAAGGGGAAAGTAAAATATAATATCTGCAATTTTCGACAGTGTATGCTAATTGCAATTGTGTATGATAAATTAAGTATATATGTTATGCTGAAGTTAGCGGGGATTAATTTATAAACAGTTTATTTATCTATTAATTTAAGCTAATGAAATTAACATGTCAGGTTGAGTAATTGAAACTAACATAATAGATTTTTATTTATTTACAAATTTTACTCTGACAAAATCAACAAATTACAAATAAAAATTTTATGAAATACAGAATACAAAATACACTTTTACAATTTGGACACAAAGTCGCTAGCATATAAGCTTCTGTGTACTATGTGTCGTTTGAACTTCATATAGGTACGTACTACTATTATTTATTATGTGCTTCAGATAAAGGCTTTACTTCCATAATTGCGCATAACACTACTTCGGGTTTTTCACCTTCATCTGAAGCTCGTACCTATGTCGTTTGTACGTATTCCTATGACGCCGTTTCACACACACATACACACACACACACACACACACACACACACACACACACGGCGCGCACACACACACACACACACACACACACACACACACACACACACACACACACACACACACACACACACGCACGCACACACACACACACGCACACACACACACACACACACACACACACACACACACGCACACACACACACACACACACACACACACACACACACACACACACACACACACACACACACACACACACACACACACACACACACGCACACGCACACGCACACGCACACGCACACGCACACGCACACTGTGTGAGCTGTATTTAAGTAGCGTAAGTCCCGCCACATGCATATAGAAATCTGTCAGTTGCCGGTATGCTGTCAAATCTGCTTAAGACTGTAGCTTCATTTTTCGTCTAACAGCCATGGGATTAAGAATGTGAGCGGAGAGTTTTTGTGTTCTTCTGCGACGGGTTTTACAGAACTTAGCTACGACCGCATGGACAGTTTCCACTAGTCCACTATTTTGCAGTCTTCTAGAAACTGAAAACGGTTTTGTAATTCGAGCCGAATGTTGTAAACAGAGCGCTGGTTTCAATAGACTACGAGACCTCTCCAACTTAATATTTAGGTTCAGTGTGCCTCAAACCATTCGGTGATCACTGCCCACCTGCACACCTTGCACACCTTGAGATCGCTGATAATTACTAAACAGTTACCGTCTAGGCGTCATAATGAAGTTAATCTCATTTTTTGTCGAACCGTCGAGGCTGGACCATGTCTACTTTCTGAGGAGCCGCTTCTGGAAAAAATGAAATGAAATATTTATTTGCGTTTGGTTAAGGTACACTGAATACGGTCATAGTAATTAAACGTCCGTGTCAATCAGCCAAATTTTACAACCATAAAATACCGAGATAATAATATTTATGTGTGAAAAGTCTTTAATAACAAAACTTCAATAAATTCGTAATAATTAATAAAAATGTCATAACTGGTCCAGTAAATTTTTATCAGTCAAGTTGCTATTACCTATCGTAGTTCAATTATTCCTGTACAGTGTAAAAAGCTTTTTCACTAAGCCCTTCAAATTTAAAAGGTAGGTCTTTTTTTGTCTTAATATCTTATTATATACTGTCATATACATCCATTAGCAATTTTTATGGAATCTCGCACTCTTGGGAATTATAGCGGAAACCATCTTATTCCTACTTCTACTGCCTCGTTTGTCTTTAGCTTGTGTGAAATAATTCATATTATTCTTCACCGCTTCAAAAATACATAGACAAGGAAGTGTCAAAATGTTAAAAGATTTAAACAAAGGCTGACATGGCTCGTCAGGTACAGTACCTCATATTGTTAGAACACGCTTTTTGTGAAACGAACGCCTTTTTGATGTCAGTGCTATTACCCTATATTATGAGTCCGTATCGCAGGATCGATTTAACATAAGCAAAGTACACAGTAAGGGTAATACTCTTTGAAACGATTGTTTTTATTGCACACTTATTCGACTTGTTGTTTCCAATCTCATTTTTGATCAATTTTTATACCCAAGAATTTCATTGTTATTGTATTTTTAATTATCTAACCTTCAAAATTTATATTTAATGTCAGATTTTGTATATTATTAAAGTTAATTAAATTCTTTTTGTCAATGATAATAATTAAATTATCATTGACAAAAAGACAACACTAAGTCAATTAGTTCCGGGTTCGATCCCCGCTGGCACCAATGAAATTGTTAATTGCAATTTTAAGTGCTGATTTACCACATGCTCGGCGGTGAAGGAAAACATCGTGAGGAAACCTGCATGTCTGAGGAATAAGAAAAAATATTTCGAAGACACTTCCTTGCCCTGAAACCCTCTCGGAAATGAGGAGAGACCTGCGCTCAGCAGTGGGAGTATATAGGCTATAACTTTACTTTACAATTAGTTAATTGAATTATAGTTTCATTAATGTCATTTTTGGGGTCATTTAATGTCAACTTGTTATCAGTTGTCACTATTACACATATATCTTCAGCGAATAGGATACATCGATGCTTGGTCACTTTTGGAAGATTATTAATATAAATCAGGAAGAGGTCCCAGTATACTTCCTTGAGGAACGCCAAACCTATTTTCCTTAAATTCAGATCTGTAGTTTTCGCTACATGGTTAGAGTAAAATTTTGCGATTTCGACTGATTGCATTCTATTATACAAGTGTGCTTTAATGCAGTTCAAAGCAGTGCCTCTAACGCCGCAGTGCTCCAACTTTGCAAGAAGTTGATCATGCGAAAAAAAACCGAAAGCTTTCAACACATCAAAGAAGAGCGCCGTCGTATATTGTTTGTTGTTTAGTTGTATAAGATTCACATCAAGAAGTCATATACCGCATGTGTAGAGATTAAACTTTTTCGAAATCCATATTGATTGTGTTTGAGTGTATGATATTTTTCAATAAAACTATGTAAGTTTTTCATGCATAACCCTCTCATAAACTTTGAATAGGATAGGAACCAGCGTATATGACTTTTACCCACTAAACCCAACCTTTTAGGAATTGGCTTAACGATCTGACTAGAGATCTCTAAGCCGTATACGAACGCGACCCTCCTTGGCAGAAAGTTCACTGACCTCTATATATACAAGTACGCTGGACTGGCTATA